TACACCTGACTTGTCACTATTTGATATTGCCCACCGTACCTGCCTTGTCACTATTTGATATTGCCCACCGTACCTGCCTTGTCACTATTTGATATTGCCCACCGTACCTGCCTTGTCACTATTTGATATTGCCCACCTCACCTGCCTTGTCACTATTACTACTATGGCATCATCATATGCCTGTGTGAAATGTTTTGTTACTCTTGTTTTTATTGCAGAGTGCAGCGACTCCTAGTCCCGTGTTAGGCCAAATGCCACCAAATGAAATGCCAGGCGGCCCCATGCCTCCAGGCTTCTTTCAGGTAAGCAATCATCAAGTTCATGTTACTGGGATAGATAAAGAAGTTAAAGCAAGAACCAAGCATAAACTGTCCAGTATATAATGTAGAATTCCACAACATACAAATAAATTTTCACTTTATCATTCTAACATATTTTATCAACAAATAAGGGAAGAGTAGGAAATCAAACAGGCAGCGCACCGCGGTCATTACCGCGGTGGTGGTGGGTGCTCACCGGTCAACCGCATTTTATGCAAATTTATGCATAGATTCCATGACGCCGGCTGACCGCGGTCTTCCACGGTGGGCTCGCACAGCAATTCACTTATTGTCAAGACCATTAATGAACACAAAGAACTGGGAAATTAAAAGGATGACAAAGTTCTAATGAAAAATTAAACCAAATCTAGGAAACTAGTCTATAATAGTTGACATTATTTTATTTGCCTGAGCCTTGGAATAAAATCACAAAACGATCCAGAAAGACGTAGAGATCAACATAATATAAAATATGATCGCATTATTTTGTGAATATATATCATGACCATGTCTCAGAAAATGTTTAGAAAGATTAATGTTTCGCGTAGACCAAATATAATCACGCATAAGTATAAATTCAAAGTGTTTTAATACATTGTTGAGGTCGCATTTACGTGAACAAGAACATGCACTAAGAAGGAAAAGCAAGCCAAAGTCGAAATGGGGTGTATCATGGACTTGGTACAACATGCGCTGCGACAATTGAGTGATCGTCGACATCATTTTGGGGCACAATTTCAAGTAAGTTGCGAAACTTGCTACGCGGCGATGCTGACATCAAGTGTGTGTTGACCGAAGTTTGACCCAAGTCACGCACTGAACTGCCTCGTTACCTTAGCAACCCTTTTTAGTCCTCGTTCGAACGTAGCCCGAAAACGGGGACTTATGTTTTGCCCTGTGCGTGCGTGCGTACCTGTATCTCGAACATGCATGGACCGATTAAGTTCAAACTTCACTCATACATCACACATTATATGGGACATATGCACATCCATATTTTTCATGATCCCATTAAGGATAGCCGAATAGCGGCCATTTTAAGGCCGAAAATGCATCAAAATCGCACATTTTCACCATTTCGTACCCGGATCTCAGTTATGCATGGACAGATTTTGTTCAAATTTGGTACATACATTAAACATAATAGGACCTTGATGCACGTCATTTTTTGACTCCCATGTGCGAAGCACATAATGGGAGTCTTTGCAGTTAGTGTGTCTGTCTGTGTGTGTGTGTGTGTGTATGTGTGTATGTGTGTCCGACTGTTCCACTGCTATCTCAAGAAGCCATACATCGGTTTTTGATGAAACTTGGTGCATAGATGCACTGGGACAGTGCAC